TGGCAACGAGCACATTTTTGGGCATAGCCAACCAGGGTTTTCACATGGGCGTTCAGGGGCGGATGGGCCAACGTCATGGTGGGCAACGCAGGGGTAAGTCGATCCAGTACATGGGCAACGGAGATATATGGCCAAAAAAACAAGGAGAGGGAAAAGGGGGAAAAGCAATAAATTTTAATTTAATACAAACTATACTCATACTCTCAATGAAACAAGTTTAAGTTGCTCTGAAGACTAACACAATAATGGACTTCTCTATATCTGACTGTGGCTTAACATTTAAGGACCTTAAATGATGGTACTAGCTATTAAAAAAAAAACAAAAACAAAAAAAAAACAAACGATGTTTCAGTAGCAGGCTGGCTCATGAGGGTAGACACAAAACCTGTCATGACTCAGTTTACTGAAGCTCTTGAGGAAATGGGGAAATTAATAACCCAGATAACTATATGGAACATCTGGATTGAGAGGAGAGAGGTTTATAAAAGACAAAACAAAAATTCCCACATAACCAAAAACCCTAAAAAGACTAGTTGGTTTCCTGGAGATTTAAAACACATCCCTAGATCCTAATAGGCAAGTTTGCAAATTTTTAAATGAATTTTCAAGTTCAGTTTACAGTAATCAAGAGGAACACACAAAGATCTGCAACCAAGAGAGAAATGAAATACTACCAAATAAGTATTTAACACAAAGTTATTATTTGCCTCAATTTTAGCAAGAAAAACATTAAGAGCGTGTTCACTATGAGAAAAAATTTAAAAGGAATTTAGGTGTAGCCAAGCCCTATAAATATGCGCACTTCTGGTGATACCAACATTTAATGTGTCTAATCACAAGAGTCAACCCACTATAAAATACGAAGACTCAAACAAATCACTGGCATTGACAAAAGGCTTCCCAATCTTAAAGATTAAGTGCTTATTCTTTTCTTCACCCATATTTACATCATGCAAGCTTAACATTATTTTGTGTTCCATGTGCAAGCTGTTAACAGATGGACCATTAAAAAAAGGAAATAAAAATTTGAGTTTAATCAGCCACCTGCAATGGTTTTCAGTAACACTAATTGATTCACACACGGGAAATGGTGCAATTAAGGGTTTTTACACTGTCGTTGTTATTTCTAATTAAGATGTTACCTTGCTTGAAGTGAATAATTTGGTGGAAAGTTATTAGGAAAGTGAAGAGGTTTAATACAGATTACCCCCACCCAACACAAACTGTTAAACCAGGAACGGCAACCTTGAAATTATCTGTGCAATCAATGATTACAAATGGCTGGTAGCTAGACTATTAAACGATTTCTATGGTGCAAGTCCTTAAATTTCTACAAACTGAAGATGCTTATGTAGTTTAAACTCTTTAATACTTACGTCTGTACGCAGAGCCTTAATATTCTTGCCTCCTTTTCCAATCACTGCCCCCGCATTCTAGAGAAGATAAAAATGAATTAATTTTCTCCCTTCCTTTCTTGCGCTCTCAAGACCAACCCCCCCATCCTCTTTTTCTGTTACAGAGCTGGAAATTTATTTGGGGATATCAGAATCAAGTTAAAAACTAAAAAATACCAAGTATCTAATGTGCTTTTTCGGTTCTAATAACCAAAGACAGAGCTTTGGAATATTCAGAATGTAAGAATACACTGAATATAAAACTTAAGCACTTATTAGTTGTACAGTACCCATCTATAAAACAATTTAAAAAGTTACTTCCACATTGTGCCTTGGTATTACTTAGTAAATGGCCATTTTCTAATAAATTTATACTGTAATCAAAATCCATTTATGCTGTAAGAATCACCTACATCCTTCTCCTGGTTTTACCTGTAAGTGGCTCAATATATTGAGATTTCATTTTAATTGTTAGCCAAAACATAAAAACCAAACCAAACCAAACCCCTCCCAAGCCTCCAAGTCATACACATCTTTAAAATTGTTCAATCTTTAAGCCTTTGAAGGCTTCCCAGGGGGCCTAACCAGAAGTTATCTTAATTTCTACTTGAGTTAGACCCATTTTCAAATTTTCAAGGATAAAATTAATACCTTGCTCTGCAGCAGAATGCGCAATTCAACCATCTCATCAGTGTTTCTAGACCTTTTAAAAGCTTGTTCCTCTTCCATGTCTTCTGCAGGGCGTTTACCTAGAAATTAATAGTTCAAATTTCACAGAAAGCACCAGCATCTTCAAGAAAAGCCATCTTTAATTGTATTTAAATTTTAATGTAATTAACAGTTTAAATTAGAGAAAGCAACTATATTCTGTTTGAAGAGATTTGTTGCTAATTGCCAAGTTAGTTTTTAAAAAGCCCTAAAGGCATTCATATTCTTGGACGTTTAATATGGATCAAACCATGTTCCCTCTTTCATAACATTTCTTAAACATGATAGTGACAAAATACTTCAAGTGATCAGAAACATCAAAATGCAAGAAAAAACTTTTTGTATTGGTTCTTAGTTTACTTACCTACCTATGGCAAGGGTTACTTTTAACTTTATAAATATAAGCCGAGAATTAACTCACAGCAATTTCCAACCACACACACAGTCATTAACAACAAAATTAACAGAAATGTCCTCTTACCAAATTCACCATTGGTTTCAGTGTTGGGGAAGGTTTCCTCTGGCTGTTCAGTTTCCATTTTCTTGGATTATATGGAACACCAATCTGTTAAAAATAAATAAATAAAAAGGCTAGTACATCTGACTTACTGGAAAATAAGCCGACCATATTGCTAAAGATTAAAAAAAGCAAAGAAACAACTCTGCTTCTGGAACGTACCAATTATATATCCTTGCAGAGAAGAACTGAAGTGTTCTGGGCGGGACCAACTGACACCCTAGAGCTGTAGTAGCCTAAAAAACCAACATAAAACAGTTTTGCCTTTGGGTTGCTAATTACTAGATACTTACAAACACAACAAACTAAAGAGCTAGTTCTAAAACTTGTTTCTTCATTTTAGGGTTTTAAAAACTTCAAAATGATTGCCTTAAAAATCCAAAACAACCCTATCGATTATTTTTTTGGGTAAAGAACCGAAGCCAACTAGTCCCACCACAGAAGCTAGTTATTTTAGACAATAAATACAAGTCCAAAGGCACAACCACCCCTGAACCTCAATTCTCCCCAAGTTTAGCTTATACAAAAATATAAAACTATTTTTATATTAAAACTTAAATTGGGGGTTTCTTGCTATTGAAACTTTAAATGTTGTTTTCTAAAACCGCTAAAGTTTCCAAATATAAAGGCAAATTCAAGCCATGTTCAACAACAGTCAAGTCAATCTGCTGAAGGAGTAAATCTCAGAACCTCATTTAAGAGCGAACCTAAACTGCCAGTAGTAGTCGACTATTCAAGAATTAATGGAACCCTTGAACACTAACAAGATCTTTTACACTAGATTAAAAAGGGCATAACTTAACTACACCTTTACAACCAGAATGGTCATAGGACTGCGAAGAGTCCCTTTCAGTACTGGCAGAAAGTGAAGGCATGTGGCCCCTGGTTTAAAAAAAAAAAAAAAAAAGCGGAGGAAATAGCCAGAGAGACTAATAAAAAAAAGGGGGTGGGCGGACATTTATGCCTTCCATTCTTCCTTGAAGTTTGTCGTAAACCACTTTTCCAACGACTAACTGAAACACTCTCCTTCAAGCCCATAGCTCAAATACTGAGGTGTAGCAGAATACTTGGATAAAGAAATTTAAAGACAAGAGGGTCTGTTTGTAAGGAAAAAAATGTCGCTGCAGTCCTATCACCATTCCCCAGAACGCAAAACTCGCAAGTATGCGCGCGACAAGCCGAGGCAACAGGCCTTTCCCTCCCCGACGCGCGATACCAGAATCCGCCAGAGCCGAGTAACGCGAGTTGAAAAAGTCACCGGCGAGAGCCGAAGCGCCGCTACTCTCCTGGATCCGACAGGAAATGGCGGCCCGTGTAATGGCGACTACGTGCTACTAGGCGGAGCCGGGAGCCGACCCCCTCCCCCACCCACCACGCGGTCTCGAGATCTCACCCCCCCCGCACCCTCCCCCTCCGCGAGAGAGACAAAGCAACGGAGACGGCCTCGACCGTTCGACCTCTCTAGCTCCAAACCCCAGCCGGGTCAGCGAAAGTGAGGCGGGACCCACACAAAAGACGGCGTCCTCTACCGCCCCGGGGTCCGGCTCGCAGGCCTCCCGCCACCTCTCCCCCCAAAAACCTAGTCTCCAAGACTGAAAACTATAGTTCACCCAACAGGCACTTGCCTCGCAATGTCCCAAAGCCTCTAGTACCACAACGAGGACTGCGGATTACGCTCAGGGAAATGGCGGAGGTGGGGGGAGGGGAACCGGGCAACGTTCCCTCGCTGAGACTCAGCCAACCAAGCAGCCCTCAAACGCCTCCCTCAAGTGACAAAATTCGTCTCCGACTCTCACTCTCGCGCCGTTTGCCTAGCCCCGCTCCTCACCGCGCGAGGCCGCCTTCCCTATGCCGCCGCGCCACCTCAACCGGTCACAGATAGGGAACGAGCCCAGGGCCCCGCCGCTCTCCCCCGCCTCCCGCGCTCTGCTACCCCGCCGTCGTACCCGATTGGCTGCTAAGGCTTCAGCCGTGGCGCCAGGGCGCAGCAATTGGTCTAAAGCCGCCTCAATCAATGTGCCGGAGGGGGCGACACCCCGCCTCCCTCCGGCGCCTCCCTTTAGGCTGCGAGGCCGCTGAAGGCCGGAGAAAAAACAGACTTAGAAAAAGTCAACGCAGCCCTTAGGGAGGCCCATCCCTTTCCTGCGTCCGTAATACCGAAGTCCCAATAACCCCAATTACTTACAGGCCGTAAACGAGCGGAACGTAAGCCAGACGTCGAGGTTGGTGCAGCCGAGAAACAGAAGATAATGGCGTCCGCAGCACTTTCGCCTGGAGCACCCTCCTCTCCAGTCCGCGCATTCACTAGCGGGGGGGGGGGGGGGGAGCCTCTCGCGAGAACTAAAGGTGTCTCGTTCACTGGCACTGGGAGGGGGCGGGGAAGCAGCGTTTGCTGGGCCTGGTGGAATCCTTTGGGTTTGGAGGAGGGGCTTTAGCGCGACGGTAGTCGGGCGGGAAGAGGCAAAATAGGGTTAGGTCGCGCGGCGGCTTGGTTCCTGTATTCAGAGTCGCACGGCTCACGAACTGCTGTTGCACGAGGGGAAGGCGGGATTCCCAGGTCGGTGCTAGGCCCGAACGAATTCCCTCGCCTCCACAGACCACACTCGGGTCTCCCTTCCTCCCCGTACCGCACTCCCGCCTTGCTGCGCGGCGAGCTGCGGGTCGGTAAGTGCAGCCTGCCCACCAGCCCGGCCCTGGTCGTGGAAACCCGCTATTTGTAACGGGCCGCAGCGCCCGTCAGGCGTGGCCCGGGCGGGGGGCGCAGCTGGCCATTGGTACTGGCCGGTTCCCGACAGACGCTGCAGGGTTGTGGCGGTGAGCCGTGGAGTTTCGGAGAACTTGTCCCTTTGGTTCCTACCTTGAGCCACCACGCCCGGGAAACTCCAGGCTTCTCTACAGGGCTCTCTCTCTGTTATGAAGAGAAATTTCATTCTTTCTCTTTTCTCTTTTTCTTTTTGTTGATGGGGCCTGTGCTGCGAGTATTTTGTAGTGTCGTCTTTGCGTTTTACTTGAAAAATTCCTGGAAGTAGTATTACATTCATCCCAAATGAATGCAAGCATCAAAATACGTTTAGGTACCCGCGTTCTGTTTTCACCTCTTTAAAAAGCCTACCGTATGTCAGGGTATGCGACAGTGATCAAAACATCAAAAACCTTGCCCTCCGATGTTACCATTTTACGGTATTCAGATTACAGTACTTGCTTTGTGTCTGGTGTTCTTAAGGCCCTGTACTAAGTTTTGATGATTTCTTTTGTTAAGATCGTTCCGAATCCTGACAATCCCGGGAAATCGCCAGACTCGATTTGTACCCAGTTTTCGCATCATGATCCTTCAACTCTCCAGTTTTCCTCCACCGCCCCAATCTCATGTTGAAGGTTAAAGATGTACTTTACACGTAAAGCTAAATCCACTATTAGCAGAATACACATATATATGTATATATTTTTAATGGTAAATTTGTGCTGATTTATTACATTGGAACTTGATTTCCCTCTTGAATAATTTGCAAAATAGATGTAAGCAGCATCTTTTTAAAATGGCTATGACTTCCTCTATCCTTTCACTTTTACTTGCCTAATTAGGAAGAACTGAGCGCTTCATGAAGCACCATTTACTGGCTAGAAGGGTAGTTAACAAATACTGTTAGAGCATAGTGTCTGAGATTGTGGAGTTTAAGATCTCTAAGTGTTAATCCAGTTTTTCTAACATTGTTCCCACCCTGAAGAGTGCATTATAAGTCTTGTTGAGAGGTAAAACTTAACTCACGCTTTGGTTCTGTGGCGTATGGTTAGTGTTCAACCAAGAATCGATAAGCATATTTGGGGGCGGGAAAACTTGGATTGTAGAGATTTAATCTGCCAGTTAGGATTGGCAACATTTAATTGAAACTGTCATTTAAAACTTAGGTCAATGCACTAACACTAAGAGGCATATATAGGGATACTGTACTAGTTAATGATGTTTTTTTTCAAACTAGTTATTTTTATTGCAGCCATCATTTTCTGTGATCAGTGATGAACAGCAGTGCAAAGTAAGCCAGCCCTATCCAGGAGCTCCTTCGTCCAAATTTTACTGTCTTCTGACTGGACTCTAACTGGTAAAAGCTGTTACCTTTTGCAGATGCCATTATTGGTTGCTTTTTTTTTATTACCTTTTACAATTTACTTTTTAAGTTTAGTGTTTAAATTATAGGAAAAGTCTGTCTTTTCATCATCCTTTCATACTTTAGTGTTTTCAGCCAAACTATATTATACCTATGCCCATTCATGGACTTGCCAACTTGACTGATGCATTCAGTGGTTCCTGTTTTGTGAAATTGTATGATCATTTTGCACTCCAAGTGAATTCAGAGCTAGTATTATTTAGGTTTGAGATTTCATTTTTTAAAAGATTTTATTAGTTTTTAGAGAGTGGGGAAGAGAGGGAGAGAAAGGGCAATGTGTGGTTGCCTCCTGAGCACCCCCCCCTGGGCATCTTGCCAGCAACCCAGGCATATGTCTTGACTGGGAATCAAACCTGCGACCCTTTGGTTTGCTGCCAGCACTCAATCCACTGAGCCACACACCAGCCAGGTGGGATTTATTTTAGATAAGCTAATGTAATTGAGATGGCACACTGTCCGGCTGGATGGTTTTTTAAAATGTAGCTAACATTTCCTGAATTCCCTACCACGTACCAGATCTGGTATGTGGTACTAGCAATTTAATGCTTATTACAGTTCTGTCGGTATGCTGTGGTTATCTTTTTTTTTTATGGATGCAGAAATTAAGAACCTATCTGAGGTCACATAGCAGAGTTGGGTTTCAAACTCCTAAACCTCTTCTCTTTCTGTTTTTTGTCTTACATTAGGTTATGGAAGATCCACAGATAGCCTCACTGATTACTTCTTTCTGATTTCAGGCATTACATATAATTTCCCCCCTAATTTTCAGAGAGTACCTTCTCAAAATTTTGGGATTACTTTGAAGTCATTCCAAATGACTTACCTTTACTTTGTAGATGCAGAAAGAGGAAACATGGAGTGATTATGATGTAATTATTTGTTATTACTTATAAGTTTCAGTTACTGGTTGAATGCATTATACAATACCCAGAAGGATGGTATGTCTGCCTCTTTTTTGTATTTATCAAAAATTGAAATATAAGACTATACTTTCAGGGATCATCTCTATAGTTTGTTACTAGAGAACTTTCTCTGAACGTGTAGAGTACCTGAAACCATGAGGAGGAAATGGAGTGTACTCTTGAGCGTGAAGCTGGTTCTTAGTGTTGCTTTGGTAACTGCCATTTGCCATTGATGATTGTTCTTCTTTCTCCTTGGAGAAAGTACAAGGGAGAGAATACTATCTGATTGGTTTTCTTATAATAAAATAAAATAATAAAATAAAAAAAGAAATATGTGAGGCTGCCTGAAAATTAATTTATAAGTTAAATATGCTTAAGTCTTAGTGATGAGTGATAGGCTTTTCCTATTCTATTTTCTTTGTGCTCAGTTCCTGCAGTCAAGATCTAGAATGTAGATTATCAAGTTTACTATGCATAAAATGTCAGTTTGTTAAAACTTTTTTCATTGATTATAAAAGTAGTGGGGATGATGATATATGTAGTTTTATATCTGCTCTTTTTTGTAACAATAAAATATGAACATGTCACTGAATAGTCCTTAAAAATGTTTTTTTTAAGATGCTATTACCCTCCAGTCCGTAGATCGTTTCTGTTTTCTTTTTTTCCACACTACAAAAACAATGATAAATACTCTGGCACATAAATTTTTGTCTACATTTCTGATTGTTTCCTTAAGATTAATTTTGGAGAGTAAAAAAAGTGGATCATATGGTATGAACGTTTCTTAAAGTACAATTTAAAAAGCATATACTTTTGAGGATTAGGGGCTGTTTTTGTGTGTATGAGCAGATGGGAGGCCGTGCTGCCCTAGCTAACATCTCCTCTCTGAGTTGCTTCTACCTGCAGTAACTATGGTTACTCAATTTCTTGAGACAGGAAGGAACGAAAACCTTAGGAATTCTCTGAAGGAGAAGATGCAAGTAATAGAATTAATAAATTATTAAGGGGTTCAGTTATTGAAACCCAGTCTAAACATTATAATATAGATTCTACATGATAATACCTTTTCCATTTGATTAAACATTTTAATAAATCTTTGTAACCTATGAAAAATAATTTTGTTGTACATAGGATTATTTAGGAAATAGTACAATAGAAATATTTAGGAAAATTTATGCTATTATACATAGAATTTTTTTATTACATCTGTTATTACATGCAGTTGCAGGGAGATCAATATACCTTCTACTTTGTTGTTAAATGAAGAATTCTGTGTAACAAATGTGCTTTTAGCAGTTTTTCCCCCAAAGTTCTTGACTTTTTGGTAAAACATTTTATGTTAGCTGTATTTGAGTTAATATCACAATGTTAAATATCTCTTAACCCATTTTTTTAAAGGTTTGGTTATCTTTTGGGGTTTTAATCATTGCAATTTTTTGTCTAGTTTTGATAATATTTTTATAAAATTATAGGAGGTAGTTAGCTTCAAAAGTGGAGATTCAAACTCTAGAGAGTAGTACTTGGAGTGAATTATAAATTAGTACTGCCACACATTAATAGAACAATTTAGATACTGTTTAGTTGAGCAGTGTTTCTCAGATTTTTGTCTCAACTGTCTTTTGAAAATTTTGTTACTTGCCATGATAACAGCACTAATAAGTGCATGTTTGAGATATTAAAAAATAAATGCATCCATAAGCTTTAAAATATGTTACATTTTTGAAATTTTAAAAATGTGTTTTTGTAGAGTTACAATGAAGGAAAAGTATTACTTAACCATGACATTATTGTTTTGAAGCTGTCATAAAGACAGATGCAGCCCTGGCTGGTGTAGCTCAGTGAGTTGAGCGCCACTGGCCTGCGAACCAGAGGATGGAGGTTCTATTCCCAGTCAGGGCACATGCCTGGGTTGTAGGCCAGTTCCCAGCAAGGGGGTGCACAAGAGGCAACCATACATTGGCATTTCTCTCTCCCTCTCTCCCCTTCCCCTCTCCTCTAAAGATAAATAAATAAAATCTAAAAAGAAAATGCAATAGGTGATGTTGAATTTTTCTTTCACTTGATTTTGTAAATGAAATAATTTGGAATGCACTAAGTGAGCTTATTATTTAAATGAGATCTGGAAGTCTGTTTATTTTAATAGTGTACTCATAGAATAGCCGTGTATGAGTAAGTTTTACATGTAAGTAGGTTTTATATATAAAAGGGAACTGGTGATACTACTATATTCTTTTTCCACTTAAGTCAACAGGGTCTAGAAAAAATAGGAATGGAGATTAGCAGAATTTATGTTCTATTTCTAGGTCTTCTACTAGATACGATCTTTATATCTTAATCTTTATGCCTCAATTTCATTCTCAAATAGATGAAAATATCTACCTACTGTAAGTTGTTATTTTGAAATTTAGGTTATAACTGCAGATGTAAAAGTATTTTGCAAAAAGTTGAAAGTTTTACAAGTAAGAGTTTTTAATTTTTATTTTCAGCAAACTCTTGTCTTTAATTCTCTGTTTATATAGTTGTACCTGCTGGGATTTTAGGTTTAATATCTGAAATTCATCCTTGTTCATTTAATTTTCTGTCTAGCCTTGACCTTTTCAATTCACAACTAATCTTTCTTCCTTTCTTACTGTTTTTTACCTGGTCCTAAAAGTATCAACAGTATTATCTCCTAGTATTTAATAGACTCAGATAGAAAATAGCATTTGTGTTATATGGTTGCTTGTAATTTAGGGGTGTATACTGTACCCAGAGTTATTTATAGTATAAAACACTTTGCAAACCACTAAATTGTTATTGTGATTTTTATACTTGATACTTCTCTTAAAAACAGTTTTTAACTACTCAAACTACATTTTTCCCTGACTTCTGTTTACTTACTGTCATCACATTACTACACCTGTGGAAATTATACTAAGGCCATTTGCCAGTACTGTGTTTTTTACATTTTAGTGGAGGAAATAGGTAACTTACTAAATGAGCTCACCTAAGAGCCATGGATCGGGTATAATTTTTGAGTTAAAAAAAACAGTACTTTGGAATCTTAGGTTATATAAGTATAGTTATTTCAGTCTAGATGTTACTAAGCTCTGCTTTTATGAAATTGTGCTTGGTGGTTTTAACTTACCTTTATTTTAATTAAATTCATATTTTGTTACTTTGTTTTAGGTCTTTTAAGCATACAGCTGAATTTGATTTATTCAGTTTGAGAGGATCTTTTAACAGGTGATTTGATCTATGTTCATCATGATTGGTAACATTTTTAGACTTATTTCTACCATCTTATTTAGTTTCTGTATATTGTACTTGCCCACTCCTTTTGTGTCTTCTGTTGGATTGTTTTCTTTTTTCTATCTTTTCTTCAGCAAGTTTGAAAGGTGGTTGGGATATTTCGGTTCTTTTGGTGTTTGTCTTCAGCTTTTATTGAAGTAAAATTCATAGTTTTTTGGTGTGTAGTTCTATGAGTTGTGGCAAGCATACGGTTATATCACATCACCATTAATGTAGTTTGCTGTGTGTAATGCATACCCACATTTTTGACCCAAATTTTCAGGAAAAAAATCTTCCATTTTGATTTTTATTTATTTATATTTAGAAACAAGATTGATTATTATATTCCAGGGTATTATTTTGCATACTGATATAATTATTGCTTTCTACAGTTATACTTCTAGTGCCTAAGCATAAATAAAAATTAAAAACATATAGATACTGAATTAGTATTACCCTTGTATAATGTGCATCCTTATTTTCCCCTCAAAAATTTGAGCAAAAAAAATACCCATTATAGACAGCAAAATACGTTATATAGTCTGTCTGGCTTCTTTCACCTGGCATACCACATTTGACATTGTTTTAGTCTATTTGGGTTACTCTAACAAAATACCATAAACTGGGTGACATAAATGACAGATTTATTTCTCTGGAGGCCGGGAAGTCTAAGATCAAGGCAATGGCAGATTTGGTGGGTGTCTGGTGAGGACATATTTTCTGGTTTGTGGATGACCATCTTTTTACTGTAACCTCACGTGGTAGAAAGAGCAAGGTAGTTATGTTAAGTAGGGGTTCTGTTTTACATGAGTTCATAGCTCTTTCATGAGAGTTCCACCCTCATGGTTTATCATGCCCAGAAGACCCCACCTCTTAATACCATCACATTGGGCATTAGGATTTTAACATATAAATTTGGAGGGGGGGGCACAGTCTATAGCGACATTCCTTCATGTTATTGCATCTATTAGTTTATTCATATCAATTATGCATGATATTTCATTACAATGCTGTAGTGCAATTTGTTTATTCATTCACCAGTTGAAAGAGATATGGGTTGTTTCCAGGTTTGGTGGTTATGAATAAAGGTGCTATAAACATTTATATACAGGTTTTTAATGACTGTGAATTTTTATTTTTCTTGAGTAAATATCTAGTAATATGATTACTCGGTTGTATTGTATAGGTGCATATTTAACTTTCTGAGAAAATGCTGATCTGTTTTTCTAAGCCGCTGTGATATTGTTTTGCTAAATTGTTTTCCAAAGTGACTCTGCCATTTTCCATTCCCACTAGTAAACATGAGAATTCCAGTACTTGGTGTTGTCAGTTACTTTTTATTTTATCTATAATAGACACATAGTTCAAATTGTGCTTTGAATTTTGCATTTTCCTAATGTCTAAGCACATCAAGCATCTTTTAATGTGTTTACTTACCATCTGTATATCTTTGGTGAGATATCTATTCCAATCTTTTGCTCATTTTATTTATTTATTTATTTTTAAGATTTTATTTATTTATTTTTAGGGAGAAGGAAAGGGACCTGGCCCACATATGAAGGTTTATTTTTGGACTCTATTCTGTTCCATTGGTCTATGTGTCTTTCTTAATGCTGTTTTTTTCTATTTTAATTTGTATGCTTTTAATTTTTTTGTTGTCTTATTGCACTGACACAGTCCTCCAGTACAATGTTGAAATGTTGAGAGTGGACATTTTTGCCTTATTCCTGATCTTAAGGGGAAAGCATTTTGTCTTTTATACCTTTAAATTTTAAACATAAATACTATTGTACTATTTTGTTCATTGCTAGCAGAAGAAATGAAAAACTCAGTAGAGCATGTGAAAGGTAATAAGAAAAATCTCCTCCCAAAATTAAACACCAGTACAAAGAAGTCAGTGGAACATAGGAAATCAAAGAAAATAAAATTTTATATGTATCATTTAAAATATCAAACTTTAAAGAATAGTTTTGAAAAATAGCAACCCTGTGCCCTTATCCTTTGTCCCTTTTTCCCAGAGGCAACCACTTTCAACTTTTGTTGCCAGTCTTTTTTTGTATTTACTTCTATAGCTCTGGAAGCAATGCAAATATTGATATTTGATATTTCAGTATTAGGCATTAGTCTGTTGACTTTCACTACAGAGATGAGGATTAAGCTCTTTTCCCCCATCCTTCTACCCCTCCCACCTTCACCCTCATACCATTTGTTGATCTTATTTTATCTCTTTATAGCTGCATTATAAAGTTTTTGCCAGATTAGTATTCAGAGTGTATATGTATATTACTATATACATGTTTGCAACTAAGTCATGTAGTACTCAAATATTACTTTTCTTTCCTGTTAAGTATTTTGTTTTCTTTTGAGTTCTTCTTTTTTTCTCGTTTTTGTATTTTTTTCTTGAGTACAATTCCTAACTCCTCCCATTAGTTAAATTTCTGTTGTACATTGAGATACATCAGTGCTCTGGCTAACAGGTATAAACTAAGAATGAGATAGACATGAAATCCTGGGTTTTACACAATTTCATCTTCTGGAAAAATAATTTCTCCTGAGGCCTTCTGGGCTGTTTGCCTTTATATCCTGCAAATACCCTTAACTGTGATGCTTTGCTTCTCTTTTGTGTAAGGTTAAGAGTATCATGCCTTCTCTTTCTTATTTTATTCCTCTATTATGTTAGAACACACCCTACATTAACAAAAATTGTTTTGTACAATGTTGATCTGAAAATGTTTTTATTTCATTGTCATTCTTGGTTGATACTTTCCTGGGTAGAGATTTATAGGTTGGAAATAATTTTCATTCAGAAATTCCAAGGAGTTGCTCATTTACTTTATAGCTTCCATTGAGAAGTCTGAAGCCATTTTCATTCCCAGTATTCTGAATCTGACCTATTTGTTGTTTGTTTTCCTTTTCTGGAAGCTTGCAAAATCTTCTTCCTGTTTCCTAAAATTTTATAAAGGTATGATTTGTTATATTTTTATTTATTGTGTTGGGTCCTTTAAATCTGGAAGCTTTCATTTTTGTTGTAAATTTTCCTGAATTTGTTTCTTTGATTATTGCCCCTTTAATCCCCCTCATTCTATTGATTTCTTTGTACTGCTCTACTTTTCGAAGAGATTTTATTATTTTCCATCATTCTACTGTTTTTCATTTCTGCGATTGTGTTTTAAATTTCTAAGATTTGTGGGGGTGTTTTGTTCTGTGAATATTCCTTGTTACAGCATTCTTACTTCATGAATATGATGTCTTTGCTCTCTGAGGATATTAATGATAGCTTTTTTGAAAGTTTCTGTCTCCCTTCATGGTCACTTCATTGCATTTTTTTCTCTTTGATATGATTTATTTTATAGGTTTTTCTCAGATATCTTGTTGTAATTAAGAGTGGGAAACTAGAAAGAAAGCTGGTCGGAACTGTTGAGTCTGTTGATGTGGTCTCAGAAAGACCATTTAATTAGAGAACCTCTCATGTTAGTGCATATATCTAGGTCACGGTGGTAGGATCATCCAGAGAAAGATTTTTTAGTCTCCTTCTAGGAGAGTGTAGGCCTAGTCACTATTATTTCTTGGAGTTTTGTGGAGGAAGAGAGTAGCATGTGTTCAGCATTTAGTGTTTAAGAATTAATTTGTTCTAGTTTCAGTATAGCACCTTCAACGATGCTCTGGTGTCCCTCAGTCTAAAAAGCCTCTGATTTAGAAGATCGAATTTGCAGTGTCACTGATGTGGGCTGAGGATGCCACAGTCTTAATTAATGTCTTAAAGAGTCTCCTAATTAGTCATGTTTTTAGAGTGCCCTTTACTTCCAAACATACATGGTATTGCCTTTTATGGGTTCTGGATTTTAAATCAGCCACTCTTAATCCCAGCTTCGAATTCAGCTTTCAGGTGTCTGCTTTATAGCTTTCAAAATTTGTTGCCACTGTTTCCTCTCCCATTTTCTTTGTCCTTAAGAGTTTTTTTTTTAATTTATTTTAATTTTACTTTAGAGTGGGAGGTAAGAGGAGAGGAGGGAAAGCATCTTTCATGTGAGATTGAAACAATGACCAGTTGCCGACTCGGGTCCCGCAACCCAGGCACGTGCCCTGACTGGGACTCAAGCTAGTGATCCTCTGGTTTGTGGGATGACACACAACCAACTGACCCACACTGGCCAGGGCTGTTCTAAGAATTTTATGGACTTTTAAAAATCTGTTCTCTGTGGAGTTTCAGGAGGGATTATAAAGATGTGTGTTTTACCCTTATATATATAATTTTATATTTTTTCTATAAATTTCTAAACCTACTCAGAATCTCTGTCTTCCTTGACAAAACAGGAATACCTAAACTTCCCTCTGAATTCTTTTTTTCCTACATTTTTACCGTCTCAAATTTTAGATCCAGCTTGTTGAATCTTAAGATTTTTTTTTTACCTTCTGTCCTTAATGTTTTGCCATTTGCTATTTGCCATACTATGTTTACTTGTAGATTTTTTTAAATGCTGCCTAGTAGTATTGGGGATTTCCAGCCTGGAGAATTTATCTTTCTTGACTTTCAGGAAAATTTCAATATTATTTTTTATTTTCACTTTTATTTATCCCCCCCCCCAATTTTATTGAGAAATAATTGACATACAGGGTCTGACAGAAGTAAGGCCTGCTTAAGTGTGGTTGGTAGGGTCATTATGGGTGTAATAATTTATAGTTTTAATTTGAACGTTGCACCTAAAATGTCAGATGGTGTGCTTGAGCGCGATAATGTTATGTTACAGAATTACATGCTTGTGATTTTGTAATAAAAGATTTTGTAATAAAAAAAGGGGTGTTATTTGTGCTGGGCCCTGTACATCACTGTATAAGTGATGGTTTGAAATGATTATCACAGTAGGTTTAGTGAACATCCATCATCTCATATAGGTACAATAAAAAGAAGAAAAAATAATTGTCTTTGTGATGAGTACTCTTAGGATGTACTCTCTTAACTTTCTGAACATATAGAGCAGTGTTATCTATATTCATCATGATGTATATTATTACATCCTTAGTATTTATAACTGGAAATTTATGTTTTTTGACCACCTTCAACCATTATTATTATTTTATTATTAGTGATTTTTGAGAGAGGGAGAGAAAGAAAAACAATGATATGTTTTTCTACTTACACATTCATTGTTGATTCCCTAACCTGGGATCCAACCCACAACCTTGGTATATTGGGACAATGCTGTATTAAAAACTGTGATTATCTTCCCTACATAGCTTTTTAAAGTCTTATTTTTTTAATCTTTATACTCTCTTCTGACTAATTTCCAGTGCACAAGTTCTCCCTTCATTTGTTTTATTCTGTTGTTTGTCCCATATTTTATACTTCTAATTTTAGAGACTTTCCTTTTTTTTTTTTACGATTTTATTTATTTATCTTTAGAAGGGAAGGGAAGGAGAGGAGAGAAATATCAGTGTATGGTTGCCTCTTGTGCATCCCCCACTGGGAACTGGCCAGCAACCCAGGCATATGCCCTGACTGGGAATCGAACCGTGATCCTTTGATTCGCAGGCTCGCGCTCAATCCACTGAGCTACACCAGTCAAGCGAGACTTTCCTATTTCCAAGATTTCCCATTGCTTCTTTTCATAAATGTCTGTTATCATTTAATTATTTATTTAAAGGATATTAGCCCAATTTTTAAAGTCTATTTAGTATGTTCAAAGAGGTCTTTAAAAACCATTTAAGATTTTTTATTTAAAAAAATTTTAAACAAGTGAAAATTCTCCTGTTTATTTTGTATACTAATGTGGCTCATGGCAGTAATTTTTCTCGAGTATATTATCATTTTAGTTTGAGAGCTCATGTTGGATAGGAGTTTTTCCCATGCATTTTGCTCTTTTGTGTGGTTTTCAAGTTGCTTTCAGCCTGATCCTCTGGTGGGCATAGCTCTAGGTCAGCTGTTTCATTAGGGATTTGAGCTTTTACTTGATGTGAATAGCCTACTTCTGGACTATACTGTGTATTCTATACATGTTATGTAGGCCCTATTTACTGATGCACAAAGATCTTATTCTTTTTTATTGAGTGTAGCTATGTACCAAATGTGTTATTTCCTGTATATCCTTCTAAAGGTCCTTTATGTATGTACAGGGAAATAAGAGTATGCTTATTTTCCTTTCTTTTGTACACAAAAGTTAGAACATGGTTTTTGTTTCCTTATTTAGTTTCCTTATTTCCTAATAAGTTAGGAAATACTCCCATTTAAATCAGAAAGCTTTAGTGTAGAGATTGTTGGTTTCTTTGTTATAGAGACATGTAGATTTGACTTGACATGGTTTATTTTCATCAATATAAACCAGGGACTTGATCAAAATGGCCAGGGACTTTTCCTACCTTTGGATTTTTTACATAGTTTTCATATATCATTAAATATATATGTGGTATATATCTATACTCTCCATCATTTTCTTCAATATAAAGATTCACCAGCTCAGTAATTATAATGACCTCCATTCCTTTAAAATGTTGTTCATGTAATTCTCACAACAACTATACTACTTTACATTTTAACCATGTGTTAAATTAATAGTGTGACCACTTGTTTATGGTAATAGTGTGTAAGTGAAAAATAATAGGTACCATGGTTGTTCTCTGAACCACTGATTATTTTTTTTTACTTTTTTTTAATTTTTTAATTTTTTTAATATTAAATTTTATTTAGTTACTTTTTTTTAAAATTTTTTAAATTGATTATGCTGTTACAGTTGTTCTATTCCCCCCCTTCATTCCCCTCCCCCCTGCCCCCCATCCCCACCATTACCCCCCTTTAGTTTATGTCCATGTGTCTCAAGTCCTTTAGGTTCTATATTTCCCATGCTATTCTTGCCCCCCCCATCTATTTTCTATCTACTGTCTATGCTACTTATTTTCTGTACCTTCTCCCCCCATCTCCTCCTCCCACTCCCCTGTTGCTAACCCTCCTTGAGATCTTCATTTCTATGTTTCCACTCCTGATCTAGCTGTCCTTTTAGTTTGCTTTCATTTTAGGTGTGGTTGTTAATCACTGTGAGCTTGTTGTTCTTTCACTGTTCATGTTTCTTTAACTTCTTTTTCTTAGATAAGTCCCTTTAACATTTCATAGAATAAGGGCTTGGTGATGATGAACTCCTTGAATTTGATCTTATCTGAGAAGCACCTTATCTGTCCTTCCATTCTAAATGAAAGTTTTGCTGGATAGAGCAATCTTGGTTGTAGGTCTTTAGATTTCATGATTTGGAATATTTCTTTCCAGCCCCTTCTTGCCTGTAAGGTCTCTTTGGAGAAATCTGCTGACAGTCTGATGGGGACTCCTTTGTAGGTGATTGTCCCCTTAGCTCTTGCTGCTTCTAGGATTCTCTCCTTCATTTTAATTTTGGCTAATGTAATTATGATGTGCCTTGGTGTGTTTCTTCTTGAGTCCAACTTTTTTGGTACTCTCTGAGCTTCTTGGATTTCTTGGAAGTCTATTTCCTTTGCCAGATTGGGGAAATTTTCTTTTATTATTTGTTCAAATAAGTTTTCCACTGGTGGCTGTTCTTTTCCCCCTTCTGGTACCCCTATAATTCGGATATTGGAGCGTTTAAAGATGTCCTGGAGGTTCCTAAGCTTCTCCTCATTTTTCTGAATTCTTATTTCTTCATTCTTTTCTGTTTGGCCATTATTTGCTTTCTTCTGGTCCACTCCATTGATTTGAGTCCCAGTTTCCTTTTCATCGCTATTGGTTTTCTGTGGAATTCCATTCATTTCCATTAGTTTAGCTTTCATATGTTTCTCTAATTTGTGGCTATAATCAACCAGATCTGTGAGGATCCTGATGACCAGTGTTTTAAACTGTGCGTCTGAGAGTTTTGCTATTTCTTCGTCGCTTAGATTTATCTCTGGGGCTTTGAGGTCTTCTTGCGACATTTTTGGTCTGTTCTGGCCCTTTAAGTGAGAGAAGCGGTGCCTTGGACTCCCAGGTCGCTGGGTTGTGACGCTGTATGTGGAGGCGTGAGAGCGGGGAAATGGCGGCGCCCTCTACTGCCGCATGCCGTGGGAACGCTGGGCCCCGGTCCAACCGCCCACTCCCTCGCCTGTCCGCTCGCTCGCAAATAGGCGACCGCAGTCAACATGCAGCACCGCCTCCCCACTGTCTCCTCTGCAGTCGCTCACTAGGTCCAATCCTGCGTTTAGAACCCGTGCGTCTGGATTCGTGCGTCTGGATTCCGCGCCTGGGTCCGTCCGACCGAGTCCTCCTGTGCAACCCCTCCCCAGATGCCGGTTTCGCCCCTTACCGGTCGGGCTGAAGAATTTGTTGTTAACGGACTTCCGAAAAGTTCAATTTTCCGTGTTCTGGTTGTGTTTTCTGATGCTAATATTTAGTTGTCCCTAAACTTGGTTGTGTGAGAAGGCACAGCACATCCACCTATACCTCCATCTTGGCGGAAGTCCTCTGAACCGCTGATTATTTACTGTTCTAGCTCTTTTAATTTTTTTATATGATAAAGAATTTTCACTTTTAACTAATAACATGTAACAAGTTCTTAAGTTGTCATCTAGTAATTTTGCATAAGGGAAACTAAAAGTAGCCCAAACAGTGCTATTCATTGTTCGAACCCTTAGCCAAAAAGTATTATTTTAAGGCTTCCTGTTGCTTAATACTGGTTACAAATAACTACTTTTTTCATAGATAAAGCTCTTGACCTTCAAGAAAGCTTTAGGGGAAAAAAGATCTTAACTTCCTTTCCTTATTAAAAAAAACAAAAAAACCCAGAACCTTTTTTTAACTACACCTAAGAAAGAAAAAGTCAGTACTAAATATATATATATTGCTTGAGCTAAAGAAACCAGACAATGTATATATCAATTACATTTCTAAGAAATACAAGGTAAAAATTGAAATCTTTGGATTAAGTTTAAAACTTATGCTATTGTTTATAAAGTGAAGGGGCTTACCATATACAGAAATAATTTGATGCCTTTTCACAAGAAATAGCTTGAACTTTGCTAATGGTTCATATTCCATGAAGGCATCTAAAATGCCAATCTATGGAACAAGTCCTTCTTTCTTCTCTTACCTATTTATATGGTAGTTTTCATGGATTTCTGGCTGAAGTTGTAGGCAAGACCAAAGGTTATCCAGGACTTCATCCTTGTTCTGCCAGAAAGTCTGGAGAATTGTCTTCTGGTTATCCTCCTCTACCTCAGTGCTGCCACTGCCATGGTATCCCAGAGCCCCAGCTTCCTTGGCCTTGAACTCTTTCTCCCTCTGCAGGCGATACTGTTTAATTTCAGCCTGAGCTGCTTTGGCCTGCTTCAGCCACTGGTCTCTTGTGGGCCATGGATACTTTCTGGGCAGTCTGCTTCTCTGCCTATAGCAGCTGCTGGATTCCTTGTTACTTGCCACATAGCAGGTGATTCTGGCTGCGAAGGTGAGTGGCCATTTTAAATGGCCTGAATTTGCCCCTTAAGTCATCTGGCTTAGCTGCCTAATATCTGTGTCTGGGCTGGTCCCTGACCTCTGCCCTCTCTGATCTCTGTTAATTTTCGTACTAGCCCACGAAGTAAGTACTATATAAACAAGGAAGCAAGCTAAAGTGTGTAAGTTTCTCATGGTCACTTGCTTTTGTTTATATTACTCCAAACCTCACTTTTAAAACTATATTACCTATACTCTACCCTGATTGATAATAGGAGCCTGAAAAACCAAACTATCAAACTCTTGCACTCTTGAAAATAGGTCAGTGATTTTTTTTTGCAGCTTCATCTTACAACCATTGTTGCTTCTTGTCTTACTTCCCAGGGCTATTTCTGAGCAGTAGATGTTACAAGTACTACTACCCTGAACAACCAGTTCCAAGTCCTGTCATCAAATCCTATGTTTCTGTTCCAAATGGTGAGTTTCTTATGGACATATTACAACTTTCATAAATTCTGACTCTTAGATATCTTTAGCTGTAGAAGGAAAAAATATACTTATGAGAACATAGGGTTAATTTGTCTTTACTTTTTTGCTACTGTTTTGTCATACCAAGAAAATCAGAAGTATATTTACCTGGTAGGACTATTGAAATTATTTAGGTAAAGGAGATGCTTTGTATCAGGTGAGAACTTATTGTTGTTATAACTTTATTCTTAGATCACATATCTAAGTGCTATATGGTGAAATACGATGCTATGTTTTAAAAGAGTGTGCATTGTAGTTATGAAAATAACCTTAGTGAATATTGTTTCTTTTTTTCTATTGCCTGAATAATTAGGAGGATGCTTTTATTAGACTTTAGACTATTTCCAAGACCCAAACTCAAGTAGTTTCTTAACCAAATTTTAAGTAATTAAAATATAGTTATTAATATAATAATTATCATTTATTATGTGTCTTTCATAGGTCTGACATGTTTTACAAATGTTAATCATGTAATCATCAAAAAAACATGTAAGATAGATAAATGTCATATGAAAAAACTGGGTTAGAAATTTATATTAAGTCAGAGAGCTTATAATTTGGATGAGTTACCTTTCAGCCCTTTTACTTTTCTCATTATATCATCTGCTTACTTGTGGTATTTTAAATTTGGGTATGTAGAAAGTGAAAGACTTTTAAATTCTGAATCAAGAAAAATAAAAAGGGTGTGGTTATACATGTTTTATGCACTCTACAGGATTATAGAGACAATATTTAAGTGTACTGAATTCTAATTCTTTTGTTTTTTGTTTTTAGGTAACAGATAACATAATTTTTATTTAAAAGAAATGAGTGTAACTAGTATCGCATTAAGAGTTGAAACCTGGCTTTTGGCTACCTGGCATGTAAAAGTACCGCTAATGTGGCTGGAAGCTTGTATTCATTGGATCCAAGATGAAAATGATAATGTTACTTTGAGTCAGGCACAAATAAATAAACAAGTTTTTGAGCAATGGCTCCTTACTGATCTGAAAGATTTGGAGCATCCTCTTTTACCTGATGGCATTTTAGAAGTTCCGAAAGGAGAACTGAATGGATTTTTTGCTCTGCAGATTAATTCATTGGTTGATGTAAGTCAACCTGCGTATTCCCAGATACAAAAGTTGAGAGGAAAGAATACTATGAATGAGCTAATTACAGCTGAAACACAAGTAACCCAAAAGCCTTGGGAAGCAAAGCCTTCACGAATGTTGATGCTACAGCTAACTGATGGAATTGTCCAAGTGCAGGGAATGGAATATCAGCCTATTCCAGCTCTTCATAATAATCTTCCTCCAGGTACAAAAATTTTGATTTATGGAATCATTTCTTTCCGCCTTGGTGTTCTCTTACTGAAACCAGAAAATGTGAAGGTGTTGGGAGGAGAAGTAGATGCTCTTTTAGAGGAATATGCTCAAGAAAAAGTACTTGGAAGATTAATTGGGGAACTTGATCCTATAGTTTCAATCATACCAAATAATTCTAACCAAAACATTCCCAGAAATACAGATGATCTAGATGTTGTGTTGGGACCTTCTGATGAAGAACTCTTGGCAAGTCTTGATGAAAATTATGAGCTTGCAGCAGTTAATGCCACCTCCTTGGAAAGAAGATGCTTTAGTACAGGTAGTTCCTCAAATGCTATTTCCACAAGGCAGTCGGGTTTTGAACCAGGACTTGTTATTTCTCCAAGACCAAAGGAGAAACCACCAAATCAATCTGTGCATTTCACTGATGGGGAATTAGATGACTTTTCATTGGCAGAGGCCTTGCTTTTAGAAGAAGCTGCCCAGGAACAACAAATGGAGACTAAAGAATTGCAGCCATTGACTTTGAACAGAATCACAGATGAAAATACAATGAGATCTTCACATGAGCCTAATGTTCTGAATAATTTTTCTGTGATTTGCAAAAATGGTAACAATTGGAATAAAAAAAAATTATCTGAACAGATGACTAATGAAGACAACTCTTTTAGTTGTTTATCTTCTACAGACCACAACAGTAGTGTTTTTTCAGTTCATGATAATCCACACCTGTACCATGACTTTACAAATAAAGAGAAGAATTCAGAACCAAGTGATAAGGTAAAACAAACCATTAGCAGTTCAGATATCCATTCCTTAAATAATAAAATTTTAAATGAAAAACTAGTTAATTATGTACCAAAAAAGAATTCACAAATTTCTAATGAAAGTGACCACCATTTTCAGCATTGTTCTCCAAGATCATCAGAGGACAGCACTAATCTTTCTGTCACCATGGATTTGTATTCTCCCCCCTTTATCTATTTGTCTGTTCTAATGGCCAGCAAACCAAAGAAAGTTATAACAGTAAAAGTCAAAGCCTTTATTGTAACCTTAACTGGAAATCTCTCAAGTTCCAGTGGCAAATGGAATATAGCAGCAAAGATTTCTGACGGTACTGCATATCTAGATGTAGATTTTGTAGATGAAATACTTATTAGTTTGATAGGGTTTTCAGTACCAGAGATGAAAAAATTAAAAAAAGAACCTGTTCAGTATCAGAAATTCCTGGAAGGTTTGCAGAAATGTCAGCGAGATCTAATAGATTTGTGCTGTCTAATGACTATTTCGTTTAATCCGTCCTTGACTAAAGCAATGGTAGTGGCATTAGAAGATGTTAATGTGGAACACCTTGAGAACCTAAAGAAGCGATTGAATAAATAATATACTAAAATAGTAATAGAAAACAATGAAATATTTAGAATTTGTCCTTTTATTTTTGAAACTTTCTTTTTGTAAAAGGGACACAGGAAATTTCATGACTTCAATTTAAAAGTGTTTAATCATGTTTGTGTGTTTAGGTTTTCTTAATAAATTTTTTATAGCAACTATTTAAAAAAGGAACTTGGTGACTCACTGTTATTGAGAAATTTTGTTATCCACTTATTTTTGTGACTTATTTTCTACTTTAAATTTAAATTTATTTTAAATGAATGCTCCGTAAGTTTCTTCATCCTTTCTTTTTTAAAAAGAGATTTTATTTATTTATTTTTAGAGAGAGGGGGAGGGAGAGAAACATCAGTGTGTAGTTGCCTCACACATCCCCACCTGGGGAGCTGCCCTGCAACCCCGGCACATGCCCCAACTGGGAATCAAACCAGGAACTCTGGTTTGCAGGATAGCACTCGATGCATTGAGCCACACGAGCAAGGGCTGTCCATAATTCTATCTGGAGTATAAGAGTTTGCGGCTTCTCAGTCTCTCAAATACTTATACAAGGTATTACTGAAAAAGATTTTTGACAATCTGCTAATTTATATTGTATTCTTTTGAATTGTCTTGATGGTATTCTTAAATATTTCTCAAACAATAAGATGATAATAGGACACCTAATTTTTAGAATACTCTCTAATAATTAGGAGTAAAAGACGGATCGTTCTATTAATAAATTTAATAAGTCTGGTGTTTTCTTTGTATATTTGTGAATTCACACTGTTAGTATTCATTGTAGCTTTGAGATTCAGGGCGGCAGACCCACAGTGCATTTAAAAGAGTCAGTATAAATCAAATCAACTTTAAATATGTATTTGAGATTATTATTTTCCCATGATGGCCTGGTTCTTCACGTCAGTTTTATGGGACCTCAGTATTAATGAAATGAAGCAGCTACATAAACCCTAATTAATTAATTAACTAGAAGGCTAAGATTTAAAAATTTTTTTAAAATATATTTTATTGATTATGCTATTAGTTTCCCATTTTCCCCCCTTTATTTTTCCCCCCTATGTCCTTGGTGTTCACATGTGAACATTATTAAATGTTATCAAGCTATTTATTCAAGAGTTTTAAGTTTTTATAAAAAATGAATATTAACTGAATGAAGGGAGGGGAAGTATGGGTAGAATGTGGAAGGAGAATGGGAAAGTATAGAGTGTTTCTGCTTTGGCTTTATCCTTGGGGTTGCAAACTTTCAGAGGGAGGATAAGTACTTGATTCTTGTCTTTCTGTGATGGAGCAGAAATGTAGCTAAGGGAGTCAAGAAGCTACCATGCCAAAACAAAACACAATTCTTTCCTCTATAATTCCAGAGACTTAAGAAACTAATGTATTAAAGTGCCTTTTCATCTTAATATGAACTACAGGAATTAGACTCAATTTTTAATCCTTAATAAGGTTGTTCACTGATGGTGACCCAGTACTAAAATGGAGCATTCAGTCTTTTGGAAGAGGACAAGTCTGAGCCAGTGTCACAGGATGAACTTTGGGTTTTGAAGTGGTATTGTTAGGGCATGATCTTTGACAATTACCTTATTTCTTTGAGCCAAAACTGATTTCTCAGTGGTAAAGTGGGGGTGATGATTTATAGCCTATGGTTTCTATGAGGCTCAAATGATACAGTATGTAACTTGCACAGTTGATAACAACTTTCCATTCTGGCACTGAATTTTGGTGTGTTCTCCCATTGAAGTAATAAAATCTAAATTAGGATGGTAGGCTGTTTGCATGCCTCTTACAGTTTTGCTGTATGTGTATGTTTGGCTAGGTCATTTTAGAGGCCTGGAAGATGAATTTAACAGGTCAAAGTTTAAAGTTAATTCATAAGAGCATATAGGTATGTTATGTAGATCCAAGTGGTGTTCATGCAGAGTACAGGTAATGTATTGAATTGTTTTCTGTGAGTTCTGTGTCTCAACATGAGTCACTGAAAAGAGAATGTTTCTGAAGCCAGGTTTAAATGGAATCTCTAATTCCCTTTTCAAAGTCTCAGACTTCCACTGGATTCCATTTAGTGGTATGCTAGTAAATGCTTAACAACTGGGCTTTATATGTGTATATCTGTATCTCAGTATACATGCATGTTTATGAATTTTACTGATCTAAAGAATGTGAAACAATGCATAAAGTATAAAATATTTTAAGTTAAATGTACCTATTCTTTTCTCCCAGAAGGCTAATTTTTGCCCAATTCTGGTATCTGCAGCCAAACTGTGGTTGCAACTCAACTATGATTTGACAATATTTGCAACTCAACTATGATTTGACTTTGTTCCTTGTGGCGATTTCACATGCTGTTCCCTCTGTTTGCTTCAGATTTAAATTTAAAAGTCATTTTCTCAGAGAATCTTTTTCTGCCTCATTACATTAGGTTAGATCCTCACTGTTATGTATTTTCTTAATTTTCTATAATTTTCCACAGTATCATAATTATAATTTAAAATTTTTAATGGAAAATTTCAAAGTTAGACAGAAGTAGAGAGAATAGTATAATAAATCCCTGTATTTCTCTCACCCAAATTTAACAATTATTAACTCCAGCTCAGTTTTATTTGAACTACATACCATCCCCTAATTACCTTGAGGGAAATCTCAGACATCATATATTTAATCACTAATATTTCGCTGTCATGATTATCATTTAAGAGTTGTAAACTCTGTTGTTCAATGACTGTCTCTATTGCCAAGATATAAATTCCATGAGCTCAAGGATTTGACTGTCATATTCATTGCTGCATTCCTAGGACCTGGGTCAGTGCTGTGAATATAATGATAGATATGATGGATGAATCGAATGTTATTAAATTACTAAGAGAAGACTGGAATATGTATTTAGTGTGTTTAGAGGTCTGCATGGCATTTGTCATGTTTCCCCACAGAATCTTTGTTAACAATATGGACCAGAATTAAGAACAGTTAAGTGGATCCACTTGTTGACTGACTGTATTCGAATGGATTAATGAGATTGTGGTTTTTAGTAGTGTGACAGGGCTCTTTTCACAGTCTGGACTTGCTCCACAATTTTTTTTTTTCATGTATGGGAAGGATTTTCAAATACTGGTTGCAGGATTAGAATCCAGGAATGATTCTGACAGCTTAGGGTGATAAAAACCAATATGATAAAATTTTAAAACATCTTCAAAATTTTATTTTTCAATTGCAATGTACATTTGTGTCATTTTGTATTAGTTTCAGGTGTACTGCATTGCGGTCAGATAGTCATACACTTCACAGAGTGCACTCCCCCCACCACGGCTTTTCCGGTACCCACCTGGCACCATATCTAGTTATTGCAGTACTATTGACTATATTCCCTATGCTGCATTTTACATTCCTGTGACTATTTTTTAAAAAGGATTTTATTTACTTTTAGAAAGGGTCGAAGGGAGGGAGAAAGAAACATCAATGTATGAAAGATACATCAATCAGTTGCCTTGCTCCAAACCAGGGACCTTTCCTGCAACCCAGGCATGTGCCCTGAAGGAGAACTGAACTGGCAATCTTTCCTCTCACAGGCCAGGGTTCAGTCCACTGAGCCACTCCAGCCAGGGCTCCTGTGACTATTTTATAATAAGCAACTTGTACTTACTCCCTTCATCTTTTTCACCCAGTCCCTCAACCTTCCCTCCCCTCCCCTCCGACAACCATTAGTCCATTATCTATGAGTATGTTTCTATTTTGTTCTTTAGATTTCACATATAAGTGAAATCATGTAATATTTGTCTTTCTCTGAGTTATTTCACTTAGCATAATACTGTAGGTTTATCTATGCTGTCAGGGTAGATTCCATTAAAGTGCCTTTTCATCTTAATACAAACTACAGGAATTATACTCAATTTTAATCCTTAATAAGGTTGTTCACTGATAGTGACCCAGTACTGATAAATGGAGCATACGGTCATTTGGAAGAGGACAAGTCTGAGCCAGTGTCACAGGATGAACTTTGGGTTTTGAAGTGGTATTGTTAGGGCATGATCTTTGACAGTTATCTCATTTCTTTGAGCCAAAACTGATTTCTCAGTGGTAAAGTGGGGGTGATGATTTATAGCCTATGGTTTCTATGAGGCTCAAATGAAACAATATGTAACTTGCACAGTTGATAAACACTTTAGGATGTATAGAGAAATCTATACATTTTTGTCAGCACTTGTTTGTGGGTTTATTTACAATAGCCATTCTGGCTGGTGTGAGGTGATATTGTGGTTTTAATTTACATCTCTGATGATTAGTGAGGAGCATCTTTTCATGTCTATTGGCCATCTCTATGTCCAATAGAGATGACTACACTTTGGAGAAGTGTAGTCAGGTCCTTTGCTCATTTTTTAGTTGAAAAACTTTTTTGATGTTTATTTTTATGAGTTCTTTATACATTTTGAGTATTAGCTCTTTATCAGGTGTATCACTGGCTAATGCTTTCATTGATTTGGTTGTCTTTTCATACTGTTGATGGTTTCCTTTGCTGTGCAATATCCTTTTAGTTTGATATAGTCCCGTTTGCTTGTTTTTTCTTTTGTTTTCCTTGCCCAAGGAGATATATCAGAAAAAATATTGCTAACAGAAATGTCACATTTTACTGCTCTGTTTTTGAGGATTTTTATGGTTTTGAGTCTCACATGTAAGTCTTTAATCTATTTTGAGTTTATTCTTCTATGTGGTGTAAGAAGGTGTTCTAGTTTCATATTTTTGCATGTATATTCAAGACTTTATTTTTTAATGATTTTATTTATTTAATTTTAGAGGGAAGAAAAGAGGGAGAAAGAGAGAGAGAAAAACATTAGATTCTTGCACACCCCAAGCGGGGGCCTGGCCCGCATTCAAGGCATGTACCCTGACTGGGAATTAAACTTGCAACCTTTCAGTTTGCAGGCTGGCACCCACTCCACTGAGCCACACCAGCAGGGCTCCCAACACTTTTTGGAATAGACTGTTTTTTACCCCATTACATGTTTTTGCCACCTTTGTCAAATATTCATTGATCATACAGGTATTGGTGTATTTCTGGGTTCTCCATTCTATCGATTTATATCTCTTTTTATGCCAGTACCATGCTGTTTTGATTACTGTGGCCTTATAGTATACTTTGATATCAGGTAGCATGATACCTCCAACTTTGTTCTTTCTCAAGATTGTGGTTATTTGGAGTAGGAGTGTGGTGTTTTATTAAAGGCAGATGAGACCTGACATGGTTAGGGAGGAAGTAATTGAAAACAACATAGGCCTGACCAGTGTTTAATTTTGTTTTTTAAATTAATGGCCAGTATTTAAAGATTGGAAGATGTCATGGTTGTTTTGATAGATTGGAAGATCTGGCAACTGAGCTTGAGCTGTTTGGAGGCAGTTATCTGGAGCTGAGTCACTGCTAACTCCTTAGTTATGGCTTCTGCTTGTGTTCTCTCCACTCCCTGCTGTCTGACATGCAGTTGGTTTCACTCCCTTAGGTATCTTCCTTGGCCTTGTAGGTATTTGCATTTGCCACCCCTGGATAGGCTGGTTCTGTAAGGCCTGTCAGGAAGGAATCAGAACGCCTATGAATTAGGACTGCTTAAATAAATGAGTTAGTTGCCTTGAGATTTTGTGAAGTTTCATAAAGTTAAATCACCCC